TGTTAAGATTTACAGGCGTTGCTGGGGCATAGTAGGCTGAGCCTCTACCTGCATCACCAGCATCCCAGTTCCAGTCCCAACTGCTCCTCTTCCGATGTGGCTCTGTGCTGTGGCCTGGGAAAGCAGTGGAAGATGACCCAAGTGCTTGGGCCCCAGCACCCACATGGGAGACCAGGAAGAAGCTCCAGGCTCCAGGCTTTGAATTGGCCCAGCTCTTGCTGTTTTGGCCATTTGGAGAGGAAACCAGCAGATGGAAGACTTTTCTCTCTGTCTCTCCCTCTCTCTGTAACTCTGTCTCTCAAATAAAGAAATAAAACCTTTAAAATTTTATTTATTTATTTATTTGAAAGCCAGAAAGAGAGAGAGAAAGAGATCTTGCCTATGTTGGTTCACTCCCCAGATGTCCACAACAGCTGGAGCTGGGCCAAGACAATGCCAGGAACCAGGAGTTTCTTCCGTGCCTCCCACATTGGTTGCAGGGGCGCAAGCACTTGGGCCATCTTCCACTGCTTTTCCCAGGACATTAGCAGGGATTTGGATCAAAAGTGGAGCAGCTAGAACTTAAACCGGTATTGACATAGCATGGAAACTTTACCTGCTACATCAAATGGTTGGCCCCTGTACTGATTTTTTTTTTAAAAATAGCTCTTACACCAGTAAGATCCCAAGGTAATCAGAGACAGACCTCTTAAAGGTCCCATCTGAGGTGCCATCTTTTATTGGAGTAGGGGGTGCCAATTATATTACCATTTGCTTCTTAATGAATTCACAATATTAATGAGCATCATGGGTTCTTGCCTAAGAAATCTGGATTTATACCAAGTACCAGGAGCCAGCCATGTCGAGGAAAATGTCTGCCAGAAAGCAAGGAGCAGGTGGCCCAAAGACGATGTGCAAGCCTGCAATGGTGAAAGAGACAGAGGGCCAAAAATGGCTGGGCCCACCAGGTCCCAGGCCTTTAATCAACTTCCAAAGGGGAGTGGTTAATTACCCTGATAGGCAGGTGGGCACAGGGGTGTGGTCAGGTAGGGGCATACCCATCCTGTTCTGCAAACATCTCATCACAACTGCTGTGGTGCTACTGTACAGCCCTCTACTGCTGCACTACGTGTGAATTTACATGTGGGAGAGGAGAGTTCGAGTCCTGGCTGCTCTGCTTCCAACCCAGCTTCCTGCTAATGTGCCTGGGAGGCAGCAGAGGGTCCAAGTACTTGGGTTCCTCTTCTCCACACGGGAAACTCAGATGGAGTCTTCCTGACTGTGGCTTCAGTCTGGTGCTGGCCCCACGCCAGCTGTTGTGAGCATTTGGGGAATGCACCAGAAGATGCAATGGTTGTCTCTCTCTCTCCCTCCTCCCATCTCTGTCACTCTGCCTATGGTAACTAAGAGTACCTAAAACGTTATCTATAGAAGTGAAATTGCCACTTTGAGATGCAATGATGGTTTACAGCCCTTGTCTCTACAGTTTGTTGAACTCTTTACTTAGTGTAGGGATAATGAGTATAAAGTAAACTGAAAAAAAATCTTTGTAAAAATTAAGACTGGGACTAGGAGAGGGAGGAGGAAGAAGTGGGAGCATGGGTGGGAAGGATCACCATGCTGCTAAATCTGTATATATGAAATACATGAAATTTGTATACCTTACATAAAATTAAACTCGTTGCTGGAGGTCAGCCTTACCCTGAACTCAAGCCAGACAAGAATACAACAAGAAACGATAGGTGAACATTTCTGATGAACATATATGTGGGGAGCAAACCGGACTAGACTGAGTTACTGGAATTAAGACTTATTCTATGCATCTGCTCTCCCACAATATGGCGCTGGGAGAGAAGTAAACAGCTTCCGCACAGCTGCCTCCAGTTCAACCAATAAACTGTAGGACTTGCTCCTGATTGGAGAGCAGCGTACTCGGCGTGTGGACAGCCGAGTTAGGATTGGCGGAGGAGGACTATAAAGGAGGAGAGAGACGGCATGCACCGGGAACATCTATGTGGAACTTTTACGGGAACCCGTGCAGCTCCCGAGAAAGCCGGCCGGCGGTGTGCTGCTCCCCTGCGGAAGTGGGGAATGTGGCCAGGGGGAACTGCCCTTCCACGGAGGTGGAAGGGATAGTAGCCAACCCAGGAAGAACCAGCGGCAAACCCGGGGAGGGCCGAGCAGACGAAAGAACAGCGCAGGGTCCTGTGTTGCTCCACCACGAAGAGGGGGAGCGACAATATATGGAAAATTTTTAACATACTGCCAAATCAAAACTGACAGCAATCATAAAGATCCATCATGGTCAAGTGGTCATAGTTCTGTTAGAGGCGACCGCCCGAAAAACGTCACCAAGAGACACGTCTCTCATGCAAACAGCAAGGGGAAGTTTTATTGATTATCCAGCATGCTGGGGCTGTCTGACCATACAAGAGCGGATCGAACCCACAATATCCAATGGTTAGGGTTTATAAAGGGAAAAACCGCAAAACTGGGGAAGGGGGAATACACGGTTGCTATGCACAGTTGCTATACACAGTTTCTAAGATCAAAAGAGAGTACATAAAATCAAAAGAGAGTATATGGTTACTGGGGTCAACATAACCTAAAACCTAAGTGAAATTAATATTCATCATAATCTTGACAATACCAGTTACAATATTACAATTAGCAATTAGGACTTGACATTAATGTAAGACACAGACAAATCACATCTTCATTATTACCCCAGGTATCCCAGGTGCCACTTGAGCAATCATGCTAGGGGGTTTTTGTGCTCTGCCAAGGGTGATGTAGTGCACTGCTATTGTCCGACTATTTGAGATCATAGTTTCAGACCAGAGTCTCATGGCGGGGGCGGGGGGGGGGGTGCTTTCTCAGAATGGAGTCTCAAGTGCTCCAAAATGGAGTCCCTACTGTCAAGGTGCTACTTCACTCTGTCTTATTTTTACAGCTGTACCAGGAATGTTATAACCTGTAAGGTTAAGCTTTACTTTTACACCCGCACATATACAATTTTAACTCTTCAGTTCAAGGATGCCTATATGTGGATGCCAGGGCCACAGGTGGTGGCCTATTCCACTGCACCCAGCGCCGGCCCCTATTTATCTTTCTTTAAAAAACATGTATGTATTGGAAAGACAGCGTTACAGAGAGCGACGCTTGGAAAGGGTGTCCCCTACAGATAATGACCAGGCCAAGACGGGGCTAGTCGGGCCACCACCTGTGCTTGGCAAGCCCGGGGCCCTCCTCCCTCCTCGCGGGTTGGGCGGAGCAGCCGCCCAGGCCCGCCCCTGCTGGTCCTACATCCACTGCACTGGGAGCAGAGCCGGCCGCGCAGCCCAGAAAGGAGCTGCAGCGATGGCGATGGCGATGGCGATGGCGATGGAGGCAGGCAACGCGGCCTACTTCCAGAGGGGCAGTGTGTTCTGGTTCGCGGTCCTCACGCTCTCCTTTGGCTACTACACGGTTGAGACAACCGCCTGGAGAGAGCACTCCTGTCACCCAGGCCTCCGCCTCCACTTAGAGGAGAGGCCGCGCAGGCGCAGTTCCAGCTCGTGTGCCTGGGAGCAGAGGGAAAGACGGGAACCCAGAAGGAGGCGCAGGCGCAGTAGGCTGCCAAGGCTTTTGGCAGGTGTTCCAGGCCTTGGGAAACCGGTTTCCCTGGCTTTCCTCACCTCGGGGCGGGAATGACTCCCCACCTGACCACTGAGAGCCATGGTGCTTGCGAACACGAAGGCCGGAAGGGTTGCTACCACCTACTTCGCTACGGCCAGACGTTTGCCCTCGCTGGTCACGGGGCTGAGGCTGGGATACTTTGCCGTGAGGGGCGCGGGCGCGGGCGCCTGTGTTTGGGCCTTCCGGGCTGTCGTAGCGCCAGGGGCGCCATGGGAACGGGGTCGGTGCGCATGCGCACCATGCGGTTGCCTAGGTTACGAATGCCTGCGGACGCTAAGCGGGGTTTTAGAAGCTTTAGAGTGTTTGAAGCAGGGGGAGTTGCTTGGAAAACAGCGGATAAACCCAAGGGACGGCTAGGATTTCACTGGTGAGCAAGAACCGGTGTGACAGCAGGAGGACAGCTCTACTGCTGTCTCACTTCCAGGATAACGAACGGGAAAGACGCCCGGAAACAGGTTGGGGTAAACCGGTATCATGTAGGAGGAAGGAGAAGCTATTTTGGATCTTTCCCGGGAGATCCTGGAACCTGGACGGGTGTCATTTCCACACCGGTGTCGCTCTGACCACCTCCGCCCTCCTTTCACCGTGTGCAGGATGGAGGCGTGGGACTCTAGTTTTCCCAAGTGCCCTTTCTGTGCCAGGATCCCGCGACCCTGTTCGAACACACAAGCTGGGAAACTGAAGATTCGAGTTGGAATTTAGTGGAACTGGCAGATGCCAGCCCCTCTCCACCGCGCGGTTAGGAGGCCGCAGTGATATGTTATACTTTATTGGAATATTGACTTTAAACAGCATCCTGGGAGAAGTAGTGTTGCCTTTGGTGCAGATCTAAGTGGAGCACTAAACTTTGGAGGGGTTGACAGAGATTCACAGAAAGGCTTGTAACAGAGCCTGAGGAGGAGTTGGTAAGGTCACCACAAAAACCTTACATGAACGAGGAGTTGCTGTTAAACCTTCGCGAGTCTGATTTTCCGAGTGTGTCTGCGTGGTGTGCAAGAGTGGAAGAGCATGATTCTAACTGCGAGACTGAGCCCAAGCCACCGTTTGCAGGACAGAAGCTGGCCAAAGCACGCAGACTCCTACAAGTCTAGGAAATAATGTTTGGGGTGGAATTCATGAAAAATCGGATCCGCTCCGCCAGTGCACGGAGCCTGATCATCACCTCGTTTCTTTGTGGCACACATCCATTGGAGCTGCTTTTTAGAAATAGAGGATGAAGATTCAGGTGCCCTCCTTCAGACCCTGTTTCCCCGGAAGTTACTTTGGTAGAATCGGTGTTCTTTCCTACCTGCTCGTCTTTCAGGTGCCCTAATGGTTTCTTTGTGCCTCTGGTTCTCTTTCAGTGGTTGTCCTCTGGCCGCAGAGCATCCCTTATGAGAGCCTTGGGCTCCTGGGCTCGTTCACTCAGTCCCTGGTGGACCATCATCACACCCTCCTGCACAACAGGTAAGGAGAGCTGCAGAAACGACACGCTGGTCTCGCTGGAGACCTTGAAGGCCTGCAGTTGCCTTTAGGTATTGAAAATGGATCTAGTTCACGTTTAGGAATCTTTCCAGATTTCTGTTAGATTTTATCATCAGACAATCCCCCTCAAACTAGACTGTTTCCTGCTGCCACTCTAACCGCAGGTGAAATCAAGCAGATGCATAGGTAATCCCGGTCACTCTGAGATGTCAGGAAGTCCAGTTGGTAAAGCCATAAACTTTTTTTCTTTTTCTTTTTCTTTTTTTTTTTTTTTTTTTGACAGCCAGAGTGGACAGTGAGACAGTGAGAGAGAGAGACAGATATTCCTTTGCCGTTGGTTCACCCTCGTTCACCCTCCAATGGCTGCTGCAGCCAGCGCGCTGCGGCTGGTGCACCGTGTTGATACGAAGGCAGGAGCCAGGTGCTTCTCCTGGTCTCCCATGGGGTGCAGGGCCCAAGCACTTGAGCCATCCTCCACTGCACTCCTGGGCCATAGCGGAGAGCTAGCCTGGAAGAGGGGCAACCGGGAGAGAATCCGGCACCCCGACTGGGACTAGAACCCAGTGTGCTGGCGCCGCTAGGTGGAGTATTAGCTTGTTGAACCGTGGCACCGGCCAACTTTTCTTCTAAAATAGATAATGCAATCTCATCCATGAGGGGCTGAGGAGCCTGGCTTGGGGAACAGGGTGCAGCTGGTGCCTTCTCTCTCGTTCTTTTTTCCCTTGTTCCCCAGCAACAGCTGCTTTTGGACCCCTTGGAATGGTGGGAATAGTTAGGGGAAGGTGGGTGTAGTCTTCAGTGGGTGCTGCCTGGGGACCAGGCGTCTGGGAGCTGGGTATGTTGCAGACACAGTGCTGACTGTTTGTCTCTGGGAGGTCCTCAGAGGGATCCTCCTGTGCAGTTCTCTATGGCTGCTGCACGTGCCTCCTCCAGCCTGCCTCTTGCAGTTCCATCCTTGGCATTTGTGTTTAGGGGAAATCATCCTCTTAGTGAGGTTACCTTTGTGTTGGGCCTCCAGGTCGGATTACCTTTTAACCCTCCCCACCCCCCATATCAAGTGCCCTCCTGCAAGACCTGCAAGGCTCACAGTAAGCAGCCTCCAGTTCTCCCCCCGGGACCATCTACAAGTGGGGTCCTCAGGGTATCGCTGTTCCTTTGCTCTCCCTCTGTGCAGGCTGAACCCATCTCTATGCTTTGGAGTGACACAGTCGCCCTTTGTCAGAGGGCAAGGGGATTTCCAGGTGGCTTTGTTGAAACTGTTCTCTGGGCTTGAGACTGTGGTAGGAAAGCCCAAGTGTTCTGAGACTCCTTCCCAGTGGCCTCTTGGGCCTCCCTGAGGTCTTAGCTGAGGACATGTGTTTGGCCCAGCCCTGCAGCTTGACAGCTCTTGTGACTGGCATTTGGAGCCTCTAATGAAAACCAAAAGACTGTGTTGTGTTGTACACTTCTTTGAAGGGAGAAGGAGAACAAGCCCAGGGAGGTTGCGTCTCTCTTACTGTGTTCCTAAAATCAGTGCTTTAAGGATCTAATGTGTTAGAATGTGCCATAGCTCACTTTAAATCAGAATTAATAATACTCCTTTTGATTTGTGAGATCAATGAAAGAGTAAATAAATTTGAATGCATGAATACATGAAGACATGGTATAACTTTGGAGCTTCCCAAATCCTACTGCCCAGGAATAACTACTTGTAATATTTTGTTGAGTTCCCTTTTGTTTTAATCCATACCTGGTAATTTTTAATTCAGTCATCATCCTGTAGGAAAGAGTACTTTGTGCTGTATGTAGATACAGAACTGACCTTGGAGGTGGCAGGAAACTAACATTTACTAAGCACCTTCCATGTGCCAGTCCCTAAACAGGAGCTCACGGACACAATCAGGTTATAAAATAATCTCTTAAATCCCATGTTTTAAAAATACATACCTTTCTGAATTTCTTTTAACCAGAGATAAGATTGGACTATATGTTTGACTTTATATCTGCTATCATCATACAATTAATGACTATGCCATTGTTTTGTTTTGCTTTGTTTTGTATTTCATTTTAAAGATTTATTGTATTTATTTGAAAGAGTTGCACAGAGAGAGAAGCAGACACACACACACACACAGAGAAGGGTTTTCCATCCTCTGGTTCACTCCCCAGTTGGCTGCAATGGCCAGTACTGCACTGATCCAAAAAAAGGAACCAGGAGCTTCTTCCATGTCTCCCATGTGGGTACAGGCCCAAGCACTTGGGCCATCTTCTACTGCTTTCGCAGGCCATAGCAGAGACCTGTATGGGAAGTGGAGCAGCAGGGACACAGCACCGGCCCCGCCATGGTGTTTGTTTTTGTTTTTTTCTATCGTGCCATGTTTTTAAAATAACCTTGAAGGCAGGCACTTGGCCTTGCAGTTAAGATGCTACTTGAGGGACGACACTGTGGTGTAGCAGGTAAAGCCTCCGAGACCTGCAATGGCAGCATCTCATATGGGTGCTGCTTGGAGTCCTGGCTCCTCCACTTCCCATCCAGCTCCCTGCTAATGGTTTGGGAAAGCAGAGGAAGATGGCCCAAGTCCTTGGGCCCCTGCAGCTGTGTGGCAGACATGGAGGAAGCTCCTGGCTCCTGGCTTCGGGTTGGTGTAGCTCCGGCCATTGTGAAAATAGAGAGTAAACCAGCAGATGAGGACTTTCTCTCTCTCTCTCTCTCTCTCTCTCTCTCTCTCTCTCTCTCTCTGCCTCTCCTCTCTCTGTATAACTCTGATTTTGAAATAAATAAATAAGAATCTTAAAAAAAATAAAAGAAACTCATGCCTTTGTCACATTCTGGTTGGCTGTTGCTTAGCCTTTCTGCATCAGTTTCCTTCCCCATCAAGGGAGATTAGTCTATTCCTTGTAAGACCTTTAAGAGGATTAAATGAACTACTCCACTGAATGCCCCAGCATAGGGCCAAGCAAAGAAATGTGAGCTTCCCTTCTCCCCCTGTAATGTGTTAGGGAAAACCCTTTTGATTAGGCCTGAGTGTTTGCCCACTTTTCATGTGGTGAAGTTTAATTAAATATTGAAGATATTTAACACTCTGCGTAGGCATCATTTAGTCAATGAACACCTGTTAGCTATCTGAAAAGGGCTCTAGAGGGCCCTAAATATCAGTAATTTACCAACTATTTGGGGTAATTTACTAACTATTTGCTTGTTCTTAGGGAGGGAGCCAGCTGGGGCCTTGGGGAGGAACCAGGAGGGTTGGGTGATACAGGGAGGCAGCTGGGGGCTCAGGAAAGCTGCTCACTTGCCAGCCGATGGAATGGACATGGTGCTGCAGAAGAGGGAACCAACCCCCTGGAAGGAAGATCCCATCTCCTGGTTTTCCGTCACAAGCTATCCAGATGCGCTGGATCGGTGACAATTCCAACGCCCACCCCTGCCATCAGGACAAGCCCTGGTCCCAGCTCCACCTGGATCCCCCTTCTCACCCTGGGGGCCCTCTCTGCCATCCTGTCCATCTCGACCAGGAAGGCTGTCTTCCACTGGGCCACACATGACCAGGGTGCAGGCGTTGCTCACTGTCCTCTGGGAGTAGGTCCTCATCTCTGCTTCCAGGCATCCCCGGGGCTGGGCAAGCAGGAACAGTGGGGTCAGGAGGAGGAGCAGCATGGCCTGGGGAGAAGAACAGAGAGGAAAGGACATGATTTCGGCTCTAGGACACGGTATAGGGCATGGCCCAGCTCCTGAAGGTCAGAAGCAGCCACTCCTTACCCCTCCCACTTCCTGCTATGGAGCTCAAAGCAGCCAGATGCTCAAAGTGATTTGGAGACAAGATGGGCACACGGTCCAGCCTCGGAGAGCAATGGGACTCTCACATGGGTTGATCACAATGTCCTCGTTCTCACGTCCCCCACGCCATTCTGCCTTTTCTTGGGCACTGCCATTGAAACAGCGGCCAGCATGGACGGTCCTCACTGAGGCTGTGTGTTCCATCCCCAAGGACCCAGTGAGTGCTCCCTCCAGGCAGGACTTTTGCCTTCTTGGACTCCTTCACCTTGTCTGTAACAGGAGGTGGTTGGCTCAGCTCAGACAGGCAACCTTCTACTCCCTCACTGACTTGCTGCCTTGAGTGGGTTAGCAATGGCAACTCACAGTGTTGGAAAATGAATGGGGGAGGGGGGTGGGGTGGGAGGGAAGGGCACTGTGGCATAGCGGGTAAAGTCTCCGGCTACAGTGCTGACATCTCATATGGCAGCTGGTTCAAGTCTCAGATACTCCACTTCCGATCCAGCTCTCTGCTGTGGCCTGGAAAAGCAGTGGAAGATGGCCCAAGTCCATGGGCCCCTGCACCCATGCAGGAGGCCCAGAAGAAGCTCCTAACTTCGGGTCATCACAGCTCTGGCTGTTGCGTCCATCTGGGAAGTGAACCAGCAGATGAAAAACCTCTCTCTTTGTCTCGGCCTCTACCTCTCTGGAACTCTGCCTTTCAATTAAGGAAGGAAGGAGGGAGGGAGGGAGGGAGGGAGGGAGGGAGAGAGGAAGGAAAGAAGGAAGATGAACCAGGGTTCTCAATGCCTAGTGACATCTGACTGAGCTCAGTCTGCAAGTGCAGCAGCATATGCCAGGCGATTTGCCAGTTCTGAACCAGAGGTGGCCCCCAAGCAGAAGAAAGCCCCCGAGGGAACCCAGGGCACGTTTTCACCCAAGTTTCACCCACCAAGTTAGCAGCTGCAGAGACTCAGCCCCTCAGCTCTTCCCAGTGTACCTGAGAGGGCTGGAAGAGGGGACTTATGAGGGAAGGTGACACGCCAGGTGGCCCCGGCCAGGGGAAAGGGCCTGTGGGACGTATGAGCAACTACCCAACAGGACATCCAGTTACCACCTGACAGGAGATGGTAACAGAGCACAAGGTAAGCGCAGGACCCGGGCCACTCTCTGCATCTGGGTGTTTTCCTGCCAAAGAGAGAAACCGTGAAGTAATGAGGGTGGAAGTGGGAGTCTCAGAGGCTGGACACAGAGCCAAAGGGTGCCCTGCAAAGAAAAAAGGGTCAGCAGGCCAGCTCAGTCAATGTCAGGAGAGGGGCTACCTGGCCAGAGGGGTGCCTCTCCAACAGCTGATGATGCGCCGTGTAGGCAAACCCTGTAACTCACGAGCCTCTCACGCTGTTGAATTTGCCACCTCCTCAGGTGCCCCGCAAGCCTCTAGAAACACTAAGCTGAGCTCACAGGCTTGCACTCGTCCCTGTAGAGCCTTCTTAAGCACCCAGGGGCCGACCCAGGCCAGAACGAGAGCAATGTCCCCTGTCTCACAGCTGCGTCAACTCTGGGACCCTGACACTGATTTGGGGGAAAAATGAAAGCAATACACCTTCTGCCACCAGCTCAAGACGGCTCAGAAATGCCATCACCCATTGCTGAAGGAAGGATCCAGACACAGGCAGGCTCAGAGGTCTCAGACCTGAGATTCAGATGGATAAGGCAGCCACCGCCCCTCAACCCATGCAGGGTTCACTTTAAGCTAAGCCTCCAGAGTAAGATTTTATAGGAAAAAAAGGACTCCTCTGGACACATGGTTGGAAAGCCAGAGTCCTAATTCATTAAGAATCATTTTAAGTCAAGTCTAGAGGCCAAGAGAGAAGCATCGGGATGGGTGTTGAACCCAAGCCTGTGAATGCCGGATCTGTTTCTCCTCCACTTCTCTTTCTGAAGAAACCAGGAGCAGACAAGGAGCCAAGAGAGAAGGTGGAATTGCACTGCCCACCTGAGGCTTCCAGGCAAGAGCATCTAAGAGAGGGTGTCCCATCCTACTCACCCACCGCACCCCCGTTCAGCAAGTAGGTGCCCTGCTGGTTCCATGCCGCTTAGTGGAGGGCAGACGGGCACCTCCCCACCCCGTGTGCCCCCACCTCCCAAACCCAACTACAAGACCAGAAGAGCTGCAGACCCTCCTCCCTTCAACTCCAGCATGGTACACTGTCCAGATGGCCACAGGATATTCATAGGCCACAGGGAAAAGAAAACGAGACACTCACAGGCTGCTTCCTCTGGGGTCCCAGGAGCTCCAGACAAACTGGTGCTGGCTTGGCAGGTGTGCACTCTTTATGCCTGTCCTGTAAGCTGAGCTGCCAGGCCCTGGTCTTCTGAGAACTCCCTTCAAGAAGTGGAGGCAGTTTTCTTCCTTGTTGACTCACTCCCTCTTACCCCCAACTGTGTGCTAAAAACCTGATGCTGAGAAACAGAACACTTCCCACATCATCACGTTAGGGTGATTCCCATCTGCACCCCACTGAGGCTCTGGGAGCCCAAAACAACCCCCTCAGTGTCCGAATTTTAGAGATGTCCATGAATCTGAGGTCCAGACATTACTGAGTTGCACAATGACCTAGAGTGACTTCAAAAAGGAAGCTCACATCTGCAGATCTCAAGAGCCAGGGCCTGCCGTGTGCAATTTCCTTCTCCATCTCAACAGCCCGGATTGTGAAAGAGCTGCTTGGCATATCCGGGCAGGGGTGAGGCAGGTGCAGGAGCTGCAGAAGCAGCAGCCTTGGGTGAGGGGAGGGGAGTGACTCGTGGAGCTGCCACCTGTCCCTCTTTGGCAACCTGCTCCAGGCCTCAGAGAGCCCCCGTTTTCCTCTTGTGAGAGTGACTTCACAAGCAGGCCTTGACCTTGCCTTTGTTCAGACTTGTATTTTCCACTTCCTCCCCTGGTGTCTGCCTTGTGCGTTGAGATAAATTAGGACCCCTGAGCTGTGAACACTCTTGTCACAGACCTGCGCGAGGGAGCTATTAACTTACAGTGCTTGGGGGGTAGTGGTCCACCCTCTGCCACTGCTGTCATCTTTGCTCCTGTCTCGAGTCTTGTGACTTGATCTTTTGCATCAGTTTTGCCTAATTTTGCATGCAAGCAGACCTATTTCTCCAATATCCTCCCTTGACCACCCACAGGTGCTGCTCACTTGCTCCTGCCTTTGGATACTCCTGGTAGCATCTCCTTGCATAATGTTAAATGTACAATGTCACATTTCCCAGACTGGCAAAGAAAGGTGGTTTTAAAAAATATTTATTCTCTTTTTTTGAAAGGCAGAGTTACAACAGAGGCAGAGACAGAGGAAAATCTTCCATCCACTGGCTCATTCCCCAAATGGCAGCAATGACCGGTGCTGGGCCAGGCTGAAGCCAAGAGCCAGGAGCTTCTTCCAGGTCTCCCACAAGGATGCAGGGGCCCTCCTCTGCTGTTTTCTCAGGCGTATTAGGAGGGAGCGGGATCAGAAGTGGAGCAGCTGCGACTCGAACCCAGGGTCCACTCTGGCGCACGGCTCAGGTGGGGTGGCCTTGAGGATGGGTGGCAGTGGCCAAGTCTTCTGAGGAACCACTTTCCACTGGAGGACCAGGAGCTGAGCCCTGAGGTGGCCCCACAGGCGTCCATGCCCGATGCTTCGATGGGGCTCAGTGTGACTTTGGGACATTGTAGGAAGGGCATGCAAAGAGGATGATGTGCCCCCCTCCCCCACCCAGACTCTCCTGTGGGTCTGGATCACACAGTCTGTGTTGAGGAAACCATCAGCATGTCTGTGGCTGCTGTGAATCCACTGTGGTGGCGATTGGACAACCAGGCTCACCAAGCTAAGGGGGACCTCGGTGGAGATGGAGAACTTAAAAATACCTTCGAAATGTCCTCTAGGAGTTGATTTTGACCACATCTCACCTGAGTCAATGAATGATGCATTTCTAAGGTACACTATGTCCACCTGAAAATTCTGCAGTACAACCACCGGCCAGCAGAGGTCGCAGAGGAACATGCAAAGACCTTAAAGGGGAGGCACAGAGCTGACCAGAAACTGCCCCAATCCCCCAGCAGGCAACACTGCAGCTGCCCTGACACCTGTCACCCTGCTGTTCCTGATTCTGGCTCCCTGCTAGAAGTATTGCACCGTGCTGCACTGCACAGTGGGCCCCTTGGAGCCTCCACACACCAGAGTGAAGGTCTGTAGTAGCCAGACGCAAAGTCCCAGTTCCCACCAGAAACAATTCTTGGGCTTTTCTCTGCACAGTTTCAGATGCAAGGTGCTAGGGCCAGAGACTCAGTGCCTGCTGCCTCAGGTTGTCACTGGGTGGTGCCTGAAAACTCAAGTGACCAGGACTGGACCTGACACACTTGCACACTTCCGGTCCCCAGTCCTGCTTTGAAAGAGGTCGCGGGAAATGACTGGCTGGCTTTCCAGGGTTCTGTGCATAAGGAGCAACTGTGTATTGAGAAGGCCCCAAACTACAGGACAAATATGGCCGCATGCCCACCCCTCTAGCTTGGAGTGGACACTTCTCATCAAGTCCTAGAGCAGCTCCCCTGCCCCTCCATATATCAGACAATAGGGGTCCATTTGCCTGGGGAGTCAACAAATGATCGGTCTCCCACGGCAGTTCAAAGGACAGCTTTATTGTGCCAAAGAGACGGGGAAAGTACAGCTCCCTAAAACTACTGCCTCTGTGAGAAGCCATTTTTGAGGGATTGTAGAGTGAGGGCGTGGCTGGGATAGAGGAAAAAGAGAAGCAAGAGGGCCCTACCTGCTCAAGCAACCCACAGCAGCACGCATCGTGTGTTCAAAACCCAACTGCTGCTGGGCTCTTGCAGCTCTCCTTGCTGTGAGGCCCAATCCCTGGGGGTACAGCATTGCAAGATCACCCTTCTTGGAATATTCTTGGGAAAACAAGCCAAGAGAATAAATTGTTAGATGCTGTGCCCCTGCCCATGCCCCTGCCTGTTGTCTAAATCCTACTCTCTGAGTTACAGAATTTTTTTAAAGCTGTATTTATTTGAAAGGCAGAATGACAGAGAGACAGACAGGCAGACAGAAGTCTTCCAACCACTGCTTCACTCCCCCAAAAGGCCGCAATGGCTGGAGCTGTACCAGGATGAGGCGCTTCTTCCGGGTCTCACACATAGGTGTAGGGGCCCAAGGACTTGGACCATCTTCCACCACACTCCCAGGTGCATTAGCTGGGAGCTAGATCAGAAGTGGAACAGCCGAGACTTGAACTGGCAACCATATGGGGTAGTAGCTTTCCCCGCTACACCACAGCACCGGACTCTGGAGACATGTTGCTTTTTTTTCATATTTATTTATTTATTTGAAAGTCAGAGTTTCACAGAGAGGAAAGTCAGAGAGGGAGAGAGAGGACTTCCATCTGGTGGTTCACTCCCCAGTTGGCTGCAACGGCTGAAACTGTGCAGATCTAAAGCTGGGAGCAAGGAGTTTCTTCTGTGTCTCCCATATAGGTGCAGGGGCCCAAGGACAAGGGCCATCTTCTGCTTTCCCAGGCCGTAGCAGAGAGCTGGATAGGAAGTGGAGCAGCCAGGTTTTAAACCGGTGCCCACATGAGATGCCGGCGCTCAGGCCAGAGTGTTAACCCATTGCGCCACAGCGCCGGCCCGGGGAGAGCTGTTTTTTCACATTTCCCTCCCTCCCTGGAGGCAGCAACATACACTGCTCAAAACGAGGGACCGCACCCATGGTGAAATTTAAAGGAGTCCATGCAACCTGGGTCTTTCTCCAAACTTTTCTTCCAAGGGACAAATAGCTGGCAATTAAACACCAAGATTAGAAGATGTGAATCTAAAACTTGAAAATAACACATTTTCCATACACAAATACTCTACGAATGAAAGCCCTAATGGTACTTCAGATAATTTATAGCAGTAAATTAAAATCCCTAGATGAAATGAACTTAGTATTAGAAATCATAATCTCAAAAGTTACTCAAGGAGAAATGATAGTTTCTAATCAATGATAATGAGATCAGGAGGCAAAATCTCCCTATAATGAATCTATCAGAGCCGTCATTGTAAAATCCAAACGTTTAATGAAGGGCTAAGTGTAGTGTTGTACAAAATTATAGAAAATAGTAAGAAAGGTAGCATAACTAACTCCTATAATCCTAGTTTAACATGACACAACCCCCTACAATAACTACTGTCGCTCCCCATCTTCATGGGGGAACGACACAGGACCCTGCGCTGTTCTTTCGTCTGCTCGGCCCTCCCCGGGTTTGCTGCTGGTTCTTCCCGGGTTGGCTACTGTCCCTTCCACCTCCGTGGAAGGGCAGTTCCCCCTGGCCACATTCCCCACTTCCGCAGGGGAGCGGCACACCGCCGGCCGGCTCTCTCGGGGGCTGCACAGGTGTTCCTCTTAGATGTTCCCCTTAGATGTTCCTGGTGCATGCCGTCTCTCTCCTCCTTTATAATCCTCCTCCACCAATCCTAACTCGGCTGCCCACACGCCGAGTATGCTGCTCTCCTCCAATCAGGAGCAAGTCCTACAGTTTATTGGCTGAACTGGAGGCAGCTGTGTAGAAGCTGTTTTCTTCTCTCCCGGCGCCATATTGTGGGAGAGCAGATACATAGAATAAGTCTTAATTCCAGTAACTCAGTCTAGTCCGAGTTGCTCCCCACAGATCCCCCTTTCTTTTTATTTTTTGGCGTTGATACGCGCCTGTCTTCGGTGCCCCGCGGCACATACTCTGCTCTGCTTGCTAGAGTTGCCACAGGTTCTTACAAGTCCTATCAATCAGGCAAACCGAATCCGGGTCCTCTCTTCGCCATGTTGTGAGGAGGTTTTTAGGCGCTGATGCGTGCCTGTGTTCGGTGACCTGCGGCTCATACTCTGGTCGAGCCGCCTGCTGGTGCTTACCGCCTTAATCAGGCAGACCGAATCCAAGCTCTCTCATTGCCATGTTGTGGGGTGACTTATTGGTGTTGATTCGTGCCTATCTTCGGTGACCTGCAGCTCATACTCTGGTCGAGCTGCCCGCTGGTGCTTACCGCCTTACTAATCAGGCAGACTGAATCCAAGCTCTCTCATTGCTGTGTTGTGGGGAGGCCTTATTGATGTTAATTCGTGCCTGTCTTCGGTGACCTGCGGCGCATAAGCTGCTAGCCGCCCGCAGGTGCTCATCGCCTCACTAATCAGGCAGACCGAATCCAAGCCTTCTCATTGCAGTATTGTGGGGAGGCCTTTCTATTTCTCTATTTCTCTATCTCCGGGCATTCCTATTTCTCCCATTTTACTTCTGTCTGCCAACATTCCTATCTCTCTCATTTTACTTCTAAACTTCTGTTTCTCTTATCCCCGTGGCTTCCCGGCGCCCGCCCCGAGGCTGCTTCTCAGCGGCTTTCTGGCTCTGAGCCGCTTCAGCCCGCACCTCTCTCATCTGCGCTGCTTTGCACTAGCCCAGCGTTCCCTATTTACTTGAGCCCCGCACGCTCTGTCTGCGCGCGGCAGCCTCCGCGAGTCACACAGCGTAGCTTACGTCTCCGCCACTAGCATTCAATCCAAGTTCCCCGGGCTAACCTGGCGAATTCAACCCAGCTCACGTCTCCGCCCCACGATTTGGCTTCCCGTCCTTTGCTCCCCGGGCTAATCAGACGGATCCCAATCTGGCTTACGTTTCCGCTTCTGGTTTCAACTTTTCGCCCCCCATTCCCGGGCTAACTTGAGAATCCCAAAGTGGCTTTCGTCTCCGCCTCGGCCTGCCCCCCGCAGCTTCAATTTCCCTAACATTTTTCTCTACCCGGTATGTTTCCCCAAGCTTTCCTCCAACAATACTCCTCCCTCATTTCTCCTGGCCTCTCCCCACAGTCCGCATCCGAGTCTGTTTGTTCTAGCTTTCACTTTCGCTTTCGACCTTAGAGATTTCTCCCAGCTTCCCCCCGTAGTCCGTATCCGAGTCTATGCCTAGGCTTTCAATAGCTTCTTCCGGCACCTTTTTCGTCCGGCTTTTCCTTAGGCTGTTTGCTAGTCTCTCTCTCCGGTATTTTCCCAGTTCTTCCCGTTTCTTCCCTCCTAAGTTTCCTATCCGAGTCACGGCACCATTATGTCGCTCCCCGCCTTCATGGGGGAACGACACAGGACCCTGCGCTGTTCTTTCGTCTGCTCAGCCCTCCCCGGGTTTGCTGCTGGTTCTTCCCGGGTTGGCTACTGTCCCTTCCACCTCCGTGGAAGGGCGGTTCCCCCTGGCCACATTCCCCACTTCCGCAGGGGAGCGGCACACCGCCGGCCGGCTCTCTCGGGGGCTGCACAGGTGTTCCTCTTAGATGTTCCCCTTAGATGTTCCTGGTGCATGCCGTCTCTCTCCTCCTTTATAATCCTCCTCCACCAATCCTAACTCGGCTGCCCACACGCCGAGTACGCTGCTCTCCTCCAATCAGGGAGCAAGTCCTACAGTTTATTGGCTGAACTGGAGGCAGCTGTGTAGAAGCTGTTTTCTTCTCTCCCAGCACCATATTGTGGGAGAGCAGATGCATAGAATAAGTCTTAATTCCAGTAACTCAGTCTAGTCCGAGTTGCTCCCCACAACTACCAGTACAAAATGTCCTTCAAGAATATAAATGCCAACATGATAGAAAATACGTTCACAACCCTAACCAGCCACGCACACAAAGGATGTACACTATGAGCTAGTTCCTTTCTTTCAAGAACCTTCGACTCCCAGGTACACAACTGTAGTATGACAGCCATCTGCTGACTCAAAAGCCCAACGCCATTTCCTGCAGCCACGTTTCTAGTCCCAGAAGTTGGCACCGGTGTGTTCCTCTTTCAAAATGTCCTGGATTTCAGAACTGGGCATCACGGGCACCTTCTTGCTGCGTATCTTGCTCGTGAGGTTCTGTTGGAGAACTGAGTACCCGCAGAGCTGTGCTCAACACCTGCAAGAACGTGAGCTCTCCATCACCTTGACGATCTCCAGGCTGCTGCTGGGACAGAGGAAAAGGCACCCTGTTCTCTGCGCTGTTGTGATTCTGCTGCATTGGAAACTGGTCCTGGGAGGGCAGCTCCTGCCAGTAATCCGGAGGCTGCTGGGGCTGCTGAGGGTGCGTTCCCCAGCCATTCTGCTGCCATTCTTCACATAGTGGGTAACGAAGAGAGCTCTTCTGCTCCTGCAGCTGTTGCATTGCTCCCTGAGCACTGGGAACACCGGGTAGCAGGGAAGGCCAATCAGGCTGCATGACCCTCATCTCTGACCTGGAATTCCCAAAATACGGTGCAGATGAAAAAGGATGAATAAACCTTGCTCCTGGAATGCCACGGGGAAAAGATCCACCTCCTACGTTCCCTTGATTCTCCAGAGCATAGCTCGGTGCCTCTTGAGCACCTCGAACCCCAGAATCCCAGGAGCCGTAGAGCGGGCTGGGAACCTCCCATGTGGGTGGAGTGGAGTAGACAGCTCCGCCCAGCACAGATGCCTGGGAAGTGTTGGGAGACCGCTCCTGGGCATGTGGAGTGGCATAGACAGCTCTGCCCAGCACAGCCGCCTGGGCAGCGTTGGGAGACCACTCCTGGGAATTCTGCAGGCTTACACCTGGGGGACCTTGGACAGGGAGTGCATATGGCATCCTGGCTTCAAGCACTTTGCGTCTCTTCTTGGCTGGTAGTCTGGCTCTTTTATTTTGGAACCAGTTCTAAAAAAGAAATGAAAGAGAAATTACTTTTGAGTCTATATATTCCCCAATGTAGGAGAATCTTGTAGTTCATCTTAGGATCAGCATCATCACTGATTTGCTTCGTGACCTTGAGTAAGACATGAAAAATGCAAGCACGCTTTCCTGGGGCTTCCTGTGTTATTATATTTATAATACGAGAATGCATTTACAGTAAATATGATATGTAAATGTATATATAAATATATATTTATGATAATTAAAATCATGTAATCGTGCACAATTTGGGATTCCCATCTGCCTTCACAGGAGGCACGGGCCCTTATGTATGAGCAAATCCCTACTTTTCCAAATCTTCTACCAACCTATTTGCACCCTCTGCATTTAGACGTGAAGCAGCTGTTCTCAAAATACATTCCCTTAGCTTGCTTATTTTACTCCAACTGCTTTTCCAGAATGAATTCCTAATTCAACATATTCTAAATCATATTCTAAATGTCATTTTCTTCAAAGGCCATACCCAAAACAAACAAGCGTCTGCCATAACTTAGCGGTATTACTTTATACCTTACCCTAAGTGTTTTGTGGAACCTCTACTCTTTACTTTTTCTCCTTTGTAAAATGAGAGTAATTGGGGTCAGCGCTGTGGCATAGTAGGTAAAGCTGCCAGCTGCAGAACTGGCATTCCATATGGGCACCAGTTCAAGTCCTGGCTGCTCCATTCCAATCCAGCTCTCTGCTATGGCCTGGGAAAGCAGTGGAAGATGGCCCAAGTGCTTGGGCCCCTGTACCCACATGAGAGACCCAGAAGAAGCTCCTGGATCCTGGCTTTGGATCAACATAGCTCCGGCTGTTGAGGCCAGGGGGGGAGTGAACCAGCAGATGGGAGACCTTGCTCTCTCTCTCTGCCTCTCCTTCTCTCTCTCTGCCTCTCCTTCTTTCTCTCTGCCTCTCCTCTCTCTCTGTGTAAATCTGACTTTCAAATAAATAAATCTTTTTCAAAAATAACACATACTATACTTTAATATAGTCACATCCACAATGTGATGAAGAAGAAATGGGACCAAATTTCAACGCTGTTTTATGTGATGAAATGCTGTTATACTTTTTCATAATTAGTTGATTTTTTATTATTGTCCACAAAGACATATTCATGTAAATATCTACGTAGTTTATGTACCTCGATTGTGTAAAACGAACAATGGAGTTTTTTGACCAGTTCCTCCTTGGTCGTATAGTCGGGATAAGGACTCTCTGCAAATGATTGATTCAGTATGTGCAGTTCCTCAGGTGTAAATTTATGGCGTGCTTTTCCTTTTCTTCTTCCATGTTGTGTTTCTATGTTGTCATGGCCATCTCCTGAAAAATACAGAGAGAGAAAACACAAGAATATTAGCAAGATCCAGAAAAACAAAAGACCTCTGTGAGAGAATAAAATTTTAGAAAGGTGATACCTTCCCTCTTACCTAGTCATAATAAAATGAATAATGGACTGTGGGCATATCTTTTGAAACTTATGGTGAGAAGATGATAGTATTTAGGTCATAAAGGTAACAGGAGTGAAGAAGGTTTTCTTTAGTGAAAATTGATGTACTACAAAGACAGAGATGGTGGGAAAACACTCAGCCACACTAGTAATTGAGGCAATGTAAATAAACCAGCTGACGACAATCTGGTAAACAATAATTTAAATATATGGGGGCAAAGTGCGAAAGGACTAACATGGATTGACAAGGATAGGTCTGGTACCCCTATTGCTTGTTATCACTGCGTGGGCTTTTTTGCTCAATGCAATGAAGTCGAAAGTGGCCATACTCTCCACTGTGTCAATCAACTAAATGGCACTTAAAGATTTAACACCAAGTCTACAGGTCATTTTTCCTTCACCCGTGTCAGACATGCCAGCGAGAGGAAAGCACCGAGGGTCTAAACCTGTCCTCTGGTGTGTGCTCATCTCCCGGATGCTGGAAGGGGAGCAGACCTTACAGACAAACCAACGTTGGCACAGTTCTCTACTGCAGAGGCCACCAGAAGAACTGACACGAGGCAATCCTGTTTTTCTTAAATCAGAATTTAAGTGAAAAAACTTACAAGGACTGCAGACCAAATTCACAACCTTCATATGTCTGCTTCAAAGGGTATAACCTAGCTGCCGGGGGTTGGGCTGCAGTATGTTAAGTTACCCCTGAGGACATCAGCATCCCATATGAGCAATGATTTGAGTCCATCTGCTCTACCAGTCCAGCCCCCCGCTGAAGCCCCTGGGAAAGCAGTGGAAAACTGGCCAAGTGCTTGGGCCCCCACCACCCATGTGGGAGACCCAGATGGAGTTCCATGCTCCTGGCTTCTGCCTGGCCCAGCCTTGGCCATTGCAGTCATTTGGGGAGTGAACCAGAGGATGGCAGATCTCTGTGTGTCTCTCTCTCTATCACTGCCTTTATATAAATCTTTTTAAAAAGGTCAATCTGAACATACTATAGACTACCTAAGGCAAAACCGAGACACTTCATCACAGAAACTGTGACATTCAAAACATAGTGTGGACATCGCAAATGATCAGGTGTGGAGAGAGACAGAGAGGGAGAGAGGGAAAGAGGAGGCAGGGGAGAGAAGAAGGAGAGATAAGGAGATGAGGAGAGAGGGAGAGAGAAAGAGGGAGGGGGAGAGGGAGAGAGGGAGAGAGAAGGGGGAGAGCGAGAGCAGAGCTGAGGAAAGGGTCAGAAAGTCAGCCAGCAAACCTCCAAATACACAAACCCCGAAAGCCCGTTGCTGTTCTCCTCGACTCCCCTTCCTTCAGCTTTCTCTAGCCTCTGCTCCCAGAGCACACCTGCACACCAAGTAGCTACTAGAGCAGGACTGTGGGGGACAGCGCGACAGAGAGGTGCCAGTAAGAAGTGCTGGATTGGGCTGGCACTGTGGAGTAGCAGGTAAAGCTGCTGCCTGCAGTGCTGGCATCCCATATGGACACTGGTTCTGATCCAGCTCTCTGCCACAGCCTGGGAAAGCAGATGATGGCCCAAGTCCTTGGGCCCCTGCACCCACATGGGAGATCTGGAAGGAGCTCCTGGCTTCAGGTTGGCACAGCTCTGGTCATTGCAGACAACTGGGGAGTGAACCAGCAGATGGAAGGACCCTCTCCCTATTCTCTTTCTCTCCCTCTCTGTTTGTCTGCCTCTCTGTAATTCTGCCTTTCAAATAAATAAAATAAACCTTCAAATAAAATTTTAAGAAGTATCTTAAGCATTTGGCAGTGAAATGGAGCTATGTGGGTTTTTTTAAAAAACATTTATTTATTTGAAAGTCAGAGTTACACAGAGAGAGGAGAAGCAGAGAGAGAGAGAGGTCTTCCATCTGATGGTTCACTCCCCAATTGGCTGCAATGCCTGAGCTGTGCTGATCCCAAGCCAGGAGCCTGGAGCTTCTTCCAGGTCTCCCACGTGAGTGCAGGGGCCCAAGGACTTGGGCCATCTTCCACTGCTTTCCCAGGCCATAGCAGAGAGCTGGATTGGACGTGGAGCAGCCAGTTCTCAAAATGGCACCCATATGGGATACCGATGCTTCAGGATAGAGCATTAACCCTCTGTGCCACAGCGCCAGCCCCCACAAAAATTTTTAAAAGTATTATAAGGCCAGGGCCAAAGGCTCACTTGGCTAATCCTCCACCTGCAGAGCCGGCACCCCAGGTTCTAGTCCCGGTTGGGGCACCGGATTCTGTCCCCATTGCCCATCTTCCAGTCCAGCTCTCTGCTGTGGCCCAGGAAGGCAGTGAGGATGTCCCAAGTGCTTGGGCCCTGCACCCACATGGGAGACCAGGAGGAAGCACCTGGCTCCTGGCTTCGGATTGGCACAGCGTGATGGCCGCAGCGCCCATTTTGGGGGTGAACCAAAGGAAAAGGAAGACCTTTCTCTCTGTTTCTCTCTCACTAACTCAGCCTGTCCAGGAAAAAAAAAATTATACATTCAGGGCTGGTGTTGTTTCATGGCAAGTTAAGCCTCTGCCTCCAGTGCCAGCATGCCATATGGGTGCCAGCTCAAGTCCCAGTTGCTCCACTTCCCATCCAGCTCCCCGCTTAGCCCTGGGAAAGCAGAAGAGGATGACCCAAGTGCTTGGGCCCCTGCACCATGTGGGAGGCCGGGAAGAAGCTCCTGGCTTCAGCCTGGCCCAACCCTGCCCATTTGCTGCCATTTGGGGAGTGAACCAGTAGATGGAAGATCCCTCTCTCTATCTCTCTGTAACTATCCCTTTCAAATAAATATAAATAAATGTTTTTAAACATATTGATTATATGAATAATTGGTGTAAAGCATTTTGTATAAACCCAAATTCAAACAGAGAACACACTGTTGGTTGGAACTCTTTCCTTCAGAACAGGCAAAGAGGGGATAAGAGCGCTTTCTGCTCCCAGCAAAACCTCCCTGGGGAGCATCTATCGCTGAGGTGCTCCAGGGTATCTGGTCCCTACCCCCAGCCCGGCCACTCACTAGAACTCCACAGGAAAAGTTCCCAGTATTTCTGACCAGCAATTTGTATACCTAAACACACATTTTAAAAACACACTGGTTGTTTTGTTTTAAATCAAATTTGTTTGTTTAAATAAAATCTCAGCAGTAAAACTGGCAGCTGAGCCCACAATCTTCACCTGGGAGGCCCCTCCCTCCCCTGTGGTCCAGAGCAGCTTCTGGAAGGGCTTCACACCCTAAGGGCACCATTGTTCTGGGGCCTTGGATTTTGCCTTTGGGACAGAGTGAGGAGCTGAGAGGGCTCCCCCTCCACCATGGGCACTTTCCAAGGATTTTCTGAAGACCTCCTAGAGCTGGGAGGCCTCTGTGAGTTGACTGAGATGTCACACTCACAAGCTGCCAGACAGACTGTCGTTGACCCAGGACTTCTCTCACCCAGTGCTTGTTTAGAGAAAGAAGTCAGGGCCAGAACCCAAGACTTCGGAACTCCAGCTTTTATTTTATTTTATTTTATTTTATTTTATTTTATTTTTTGACAAGCAGAGTTACTCAGTGAGAGAGAGACAGAGAGAAAGGTCTTCCGTCCATTGGTTCATTCCCCAAATGGCACAACGGCCGGCGCTGCCTGAAGAATCTAACTTGGCTCCAATAGAAGAAGTCCTCAGAGAAACGAATATCATGAAACACCTATTCTTGGTTTCAAAGTTTGTTTGCACCAAAACATTTCTGAATTCCACTATTCCACTGACACTGTGAAGTTCCCTGCTCCAGCATTACACCACCAAGGCTGTTTCCTCCCCCTACCCTTCCCATCTTTCCCCACATCTCCCACCCCTTCATTCTGAAGGGAACCCAAGACACTGTTCTACCTAAACTACTTCCAGGTACATCTTTAAAATGCAGAAAACTTTTTAAGGCAACCCCAAGTTGGGTTAATTTTTAAACACCTGAGCCTTTGGGAAATCCTACCCTTGCATTCAGCCAGGCGGTAGCCAGAGACAATGACACCTGTGACACTAGTGGCCCCTGGACCACGAGCCTGCACTTCTGAAAGACGAAAGCCCAAACCCCCACAGAACACCAGGACAGCGAGAACCCGGCCTTGCCGAAAGCCGCACATGGAAACTCACCATTGGTAGCCATGTCTGGGAGCCCTCCTGAGACCGTCTTCTTGGGCAGTGAAGTGAGGGAGGCTGGCACAGTATTCATTTAATATAAACCTGGGATGGCCACCCTAGGCACGCCTTAGACCCAGCCCTTCTCCAGCCCCTGCCACACCCTACACACAGCTCCCCCTAGGCACAACAGGATTTCCAAAATCTCCATTTGTATCTCCAGTCACTGAACACCCATGGGAACTAATTTTCTCATTTAGCCCTGGCCAAATGATAACTGATAACTGAGAGTTTGGAGGCTGCTGAGGCCAGAGACTCACAGCGAATGAGGACGTTAAAGAATATAAGACTGCAGGCATTGTGGCAAAGCTTGTTAAGCTGCCACGTAGGATGCCCCCAGCCCATAGCAGAGTGTGGGTTCCAGTCCCAGTTACTCTGCTCCCAATCCGGCTTCACACCAAAGTAGCCGGGGAAGCAGCAGGTGATGGCTCAGGTGCATGGGCCCTATAGCCTACACTGGGAGACCTGGATGCATTTCTAGGTTCCTGGCTTCAGCCTGACCCAGCTTTGGCTGTTGTAGACATTTGGGGAGTGAACCAGCAAACAGAAGGTTTCTCTCTCTCTTGCTCTCTCTCACTCAGCCTCTCAGGTACACAAAAATAAATGGTTTTCAGAAGTCAGCATAAGGGGCCAGCATTAAGGTATAGTGGGTATGGCAGCATCCCACACGGGTGCTGGCTCATGTCCTGGCTGCTGCACTTCCCATGCAGCTCCCTGCTAATGGCTTGGGAAAGCAGTGGAAGATGGCCCAAGGGCTTGGGACCCTGCCACCCACATGGGAGACTCAGAAGAAGCTCCAGGCTCCTGGCTTTGGCCTGGCCCAGCCTTGCCTGTTGCAGCCATCTGGGAAGAAGATTCTTCTCTCTCTCTCTCTCTCTCTCTCTCTCTGTAACTCTTTCAAATAAAAACAAATCTTAAAAAGTCAATATAAGTCTAACATCATACAGTAATTAAATCATTGAAATAATTTATTCAAAACAGCCAAAACCTCCATAGAATAGTTTGAGAACTGGACATCTGAAAGGAGACTAGGGCTGAGAGAAAACAAACTAAAATTAAGTTGGGGAGCCGATGCTGTGGCATAGTGGGGAGAGCTGCCGCCTGCCATGCCGGCATCCCATATGGACACTGGTTCATGTCCAGGCTGCTCCACTTCTGACCCAGCTCTCTGCTACAGCCTGGGAAAGCAGTAGAGGATGGCCCAAGTGCTTGGGTCCCTGCACCGCATGGGAGGCCTGGAAGAAGCTCCTGGCTCCTGGCTTCAGATCAGTGCAGCTCCAGCCATTGCGGCCAGTTGGGGAGTGAACCAGAGGATGGAAGATCTCTCTCTCTCTCTCTTCCCCCCTTCTTCTCTCTCCGTGTAGCTCTGACTTTCAAATAAATAAATAAATCTTTAAAAAATTAAGTTGGACCTAGCCCGGTTTCCCTGGCTTTTTTTTTTTTTTTTTTTTTCCTGTAATTCAAAGTTCTTTACCTCAGCACCGTGAATTTCCACTAGATGGTGCCTTTCCCTCTTCCATCAAACTTGTTTCAAAGAATATTTTGACCAGGTGAATTCACTTGCTTTTATGCTCTCCCCAACTCCAGGCAGTCACTTCTATTCTCATGCCAGTATTTAGACATCACTGGCAAAGGTCAACATACCAGCTCCCACACTGCCCAATCGTAGGGTTCACCTTCTAAATCATCAACCTTTATTGGACAATCTCTCTTTTTCTACCTGAACAACTCAGGAGAGTTTTCATATTTTTCCTGTGGACCTTGACTTCGGGGGATGTTCACTGAGTAGTGCATTGACCTTGCTTTGTTAAGATTTACAGGCGTTGCTGGGGCATAGTAGGCCGAGCCTCTACCTGCATCACCAGCATCCCAGTTCCAGTCCCAGCTGCTCCTCTTCGGATCTGGTTCTGTGCTGTGGCCTGGGAAAGCAGTGGAAGATGACCCAAGTGCTGGGGCCCCAGCACCCGCATGGGAGACCAGGAAGAAGCTCCAGGCTCCTGGCTTTGGATTGGCCCAGCTCTTACTGTTTCAGCCATTTGGGGAGGAAACCAGCAGATGGAAGACTTTTCTCTCTGTCTCTCCCTCTCTCTCTCTGTAACTCTATCTCTCAAATAAATAAATAAAACCTTTAAAATGTTATTTATTTATTTGAAAGCCAGAGAGAGAGAGAGAAAGAGATCTTGCCTCTGTTGGTTCACTCCTCAGATGGCTGCAATGGCCGGAACTGCACAGATCCAAAGCCAGGAGCCAGGAGCTTCCTACAGGTCTCCCACACGTATGCAGGGCCCAAGGACATGGGCCATCCTCCACTGCTTTCCCAGCCCACAGCAGAGAGCTGGATCAGAAGTGGAGCAGCCAGTTCTCAAACTGGCACCCATATGGGATGTCAGTGCTTCAGGCTAGGGCGATAACCTGCTAAGCCACAGCTTATCCTATATGCCTGCCTATGACACCAACACACACCCAATCCTGTGTATTGAGCCCTGCCGTGTAGGTGTGACCAGCACAAATATAGTCCCTGAAATCAGTATTCAGGTGAACTTTAGAAACACATGCCTCCCAATTATCACCTACAAGGAAAAGCCAGAACTTGGGGGAACTCCTGGCAGCTCTATGACCTGGCTCCCACTCCTGTTCAGCTTGGCCTTGGAGAATCACCACTGGCCAACTGTGAGCTCCCACCAGGCTTGTACATGTCTGAGAACTGAAAAACTCTGTCCTGCCAGCCTGTACACCTGTTTCAAGTGCTACAGGAAGAGTTCCCAGTGATGCTGGAAGAAAATGCTTTGACCACAATCAAGTTATCAGCATGGCAATTTTGATAAAGGTCATCGGTTTAAAAAAAAAGTGTGGTAACAAATGAACTTGAGATTCTGGTGCTCTACAGAGTGGACTTGTGTTTCCTAAATGTCTTTTCTCTGGACTTTTTATTATTATTATTATTATTTCCCAGAAGTTTGGAATTTTTTTCACTTTTGGGATCAATGACTTATATATTCATTTCCCCCATTGTTTCTGTGATGTCAACAGTTTAACTTACAAGTCCAAACCTATGTTCAGTTCGTGGTTTACCTGTTCAAAATGTAGCATTTTCAGGGCCAGAGTTGGGTGCAGTGGGTTAGGCTGCTGCTGTCTGCAATGCCAGCATCCCACATGGACATCAATTTGATTCCTGGCTGCTCCACTTCTGATTCAGCTCCCTATTAATGTGCCTGGAAAAGCAGTGCAAGAAGGCCCAAGGCTTTGGGCCTCTGCACCCACTTAGGATACTAGAAGAAGCTCCTGGCTTCAGCCTGACTCAGCTCTGGCTATTGTGCCCATTTGGGGCATGCACTGGTAGATGAAAGATCTCGACCTCGATATCTCTCCCTTCCCCCCGCTTCGTCTCTGTAACTCTGCCTTCAAATAAATAAATAAATCTTTATTGAAAGGTAGACTTACATAGAGAGAGGGAAAGACAGATCTTCCATCTGCTGGTTTACTCCTAAAAGGCTGCAACAGCCAAGCCTGGGCCAGGCAGAAGCCAGGAGCTTCATCCAGGTATCCCGTGTGGGTGCAGGTGAAGTAACACCTTGACAGTAGGGATTCCATTTTGGGGAACCTGACTCCATTCTGGGAAGGTGCCCCCCACACATACACACCGTGAGGCTCTGCTCTGAAACTATGGTCTAAAACAGTTGAACAATAGCAGTCCACTACATCACACTTGGCAGAGCATAGAAACCCCTAGCATGATCGCTCAAGCTTGGAAGTGGATAGGCTGCACCTGGGTTAATGATAAAAATGTAATTTGTCTATGTCCTACATATGATTAAAACCAATACCTGGATTAATGTCAAGATTATAATTGAAATTGTTAAGATTGCAACTGGCATTGTCAAGATTATAATTGATACTCGTTTCGCATCGGTTTTAGGTCAGCTTGTTCCCCATAACCATGTATTCCCCCCGATCCTAGCAACCATGTATTCCCATCCCAATTTTCAGTTTTTACCTTTATAAACCCTGTTGCTTTGGGCTTCAGGGACAAGAGTTCTTTTGGGCATGAGCCCACTCTCCACCGCCGGCAATAAAGGACCATCAAATTTTATCAATGTGTGGTGCTCCTTTGTTTACACTCACTCAGGTACAACACAGGGGCCCAAGCAACTGGATCACCCTCTGCTGCTTTCCCAAGCACATTAGCAGGGAGCTGGATCAGAAGCGGAGTTCCAGCTGTTGAGGCCATCTGGGGAGAGGACCAGCGGATGGAAGACCTCTCTTTCTCTCCCTCTCTGCCTCTGCCTCTGCCTCTCTGCCTTTCAAATAAATAAATACATCGTTAATAATAAGTGGCACCACTGGGAAACAAATGGATGCCCATATGGGATGCTAGTATCGCAAGCAGCAGCTTAACCTAGTGAACAACACTGGCCCTAATAAATCTTTTTTTCTTTAAATGTAGCATTTTTTTTCCATGACCTGACATGTTAAAGCCACAGCCCATCAGTTTGGTGAATCTGGTAAACTGTAAACTGGTGATTCATCAAACTGACTTTCAGCACACTGAGTTTTCCTAATGATTTTCTGTCAAATGCCCACTTAATGAGATTGGAGTTTCTTTTTCTCTTTCTTTTCTTTCTTTTTTTTTTTTTTTTTTTACAAGCAGAGTTAGACAGTGAGGGAGACAGAGAAAGGTCTTCCTTCCGTTGGTTCACCCTACAAAGTCCACTACAGCCAGAGCACTGCGCCGATCCAAAGCCAGGAGCCAGGCGCTTCTCCTGGCCATCCTCCACTCTCTACTCGGGCCACAGCAGAGACCTGGACTGGAAGAGGAGCAACTAGGACAGAATCCGGTGCTCCAATTGGACTAGAACCTGGAGTACCAGCGCCACAGGCAGAGGATTAGCCTAGTGAGCCGTGGCGCCAGCAATGAATGTGCATTTTCCCAAACCGAACTTTAGCTACCTGCTTGACCCTTTCTCAGACATCTCAATGCTTAATCCACTAGACTGCAACAATAGTAAGAACAACAGCCAACATTACTTTTTTACTCTGTGCCGCCTCTCACCTAACCATGAAGCAGTTATGAACGAATGTCCTCCATACCCAATTCCTGCAGGAAACCTACTGAGCATCATCATCATCAGTCATCACAATGATTTGAGCTTTACACCCTTGGGCAAGAAACCGCCCTGGTCCCACCCACATCTCAATACCACCTCCTGGGGCCAGCGCTGTGGCACAGTAGGCTAAGGACCTGGCCTGGAGCGCAGTATCACATATGGGCGCCAGTTTCAGAACTGCCTACTCCACTTCCGATCCAGCTCTCTACTATGGCCTTGGAAGGCAGTGGAGGATGGAGCGAGTCCTTGGGTCCCTGGACCCGATGAGACTGGGGGTGGGGTGTTGGGGGAGATTCTGGCTCCTGGCTTCAGATCAGCACAGCTATGGCCATTGTGGCCAATTAGGGAGTGAAACCGGCAATGGAAGCACTCTCTCTCTCTCTCTCTCTCTCTCTCTTTCTGCCTCTCCTCTCTCTGTGTAACTCTGACTTTCAAATAAATAAATAAATAAAATTGATAAATAAATAAAAATTGATCACATTTGTGAGCTGGAAGATCAGGCCTCCACCCCACCCCTAGTGACCTCATGCCCCTATCTGACCACACCTCTGTGCCCACCTGCCAATCAGGGTAATTAACCTCTTGTCTGGAAAGGCAGGGACAGCCCTGCATTGAGTGGAATATGGAATCAGAAGAGTTTTGATCTGCAGACAATTTCACAGATTCTTCTAGCAACGAAATTTAATTTCACATTGTTTCTTCTAGCAACCAAAAACTACCCTAATTCTCCTGATGCACGATGCTTTCTTCATGTTGTTCTCCCCATCCGATGACACTGGGAGAGTGTGGGGTGTTTGCTGTGACTCAGCACATGGCCATCCTGCTCTGCAGACATCTCTTCACACTCCTCTGGCGCTACTGGACAGCCCTCTACTGCTGCACTACCTGTGAATTTACATGTGGGAGAGGAGAGTTCGAGTCCTGGCTGCTCTGCTTCCAACCCAGCTTCCTGCTAATGTGCCTGGGAGGCAGCAGATGGTCCAAGTACTTGGGTTCCTCTTCTCCACACGGGAAACTCAGATGGAGTCTTCCTGACTGTGGCTTCAGCCTGGTGCTGGCCCCACCCCAGCTGTTGTGAGCATTTGGGGAATGCACCAGAACATGGAGTGGTTGTCTCTGTCTCTCTCTCTCCTGCCTCCCATCTCTGTCACTCTGCCTATGGTAACTAAGAGTACCTAAAAGGTAATCTATAGAAGTGAAATTGACACTCAGATGCAATGATGGTTTACAGCCCTTGTCTCTACAGTTTGTTGAACTCTTTACTTAGTGTAGGGATAATGAGTATAAAGTAAACTGAAAATAAATCTTTGTAAAAATTAAGATTCGATGGCTGGTGCCGCAGCTCACTAGACTAATCCTCCGCCTTGTGCGCCGGCACACTGGGTGCTAGTACCGGTCAGGGCACCGGATTCTGTCCCAGTTGCCCCTCTTCCAGGCCAGCTCTCTGCTGTGGCCAGGGAGTGCAGTGGAAGATGGCCCAAGTGCTTGGGCCCTGCACCCCATGGGAGACCAGGAGAAGTACCTGGCTCCTGCCATCGGATCAGCGCGGTGTGCCACCTATGGCGGCCATTGGAGGGTGAACCAACGGTAAAAGAAGACCTTTCTCTCTTTCTCTCTGTCCACTCTGCCTGTCAAAAAAAAAAAAAATTAAGATTGGGACTAGGAGAGGGAGGAGGAAGAAGGATGGGAGCGTGGGTGGGAAGGATCACCATGCTCCTAAATCTGTATATATGAAATACATGAAATTTGTATACCTTACATAAAATTAAACTCGTTGCTGGAGGCCAGCCTTACCCTGATACTCAAGCCAGACAAGAACACAACAACAAAAAACTACAGACAAATATCTCTGATGAACATAGATGGAAAATTTTTAACATACTGACAAATCAAAACTGACAGCAATCAAAAACATCCGTCATGGTCAAGTGGTCATAGTTCAGGGATGCCTATAATATGTGGATGCCAGGGCCACAGGTGGTGGCCCAGCCCACTGCACCCAGCGCCGGCCCCTATTTATCTTTCTTTAAAAAACATGTATGTATTGGAAAGACAGCGTTACAGAGAGCGACGCTTGGAAAGGGTGTCCCCTACAGATAATGACCAGGCCAAGACGGGGCTGGTCAGGCCACCACCTGTGCTTGGCAAGCCCGGGGCCCTCCTCCCTCCTCGCGGGTTGGGCGGAGCTGCCGCCCAGGCCCGCCCCTGCTGGCCCTGCATCCACTGCACTGGGAGCAGAGCCGGCCGCGCCGCCCAGTAAGGAGCTGCAGCGATGGCGATGGCGATAGCGGCAGGCAACGCGGCCTACTTCCAGAGGGGCAGTGTGTTCTGGTTGGCGGTCATCATGCTCTCCTTTGGCTACTACACGGTAGGGGCAACCGAGTTGGGACAACCGCCTGGAGCGAGCGCTCCTGTCACGCAGGCCTCCGCCTCCACTTGGAGGAGAGGCCGCGCAGGCGCAGTTCTCGCTCTCTCGCCTCCCAGCGGGGAGGGAAGCCAGAACCCGGAAGGAGGCGCAGGCGCAGTCGGCTGCCAAGGCTTTTGGCCGGTGTTCGAGTCCCTGCGAAACCGGTTGGCCTACTTTCCTCAGGTGGGGGCGGGCACGACTCCCCACCTGAGGACTGAGCGCCTGGGTCTTTCACGATGGTGCTGGCGAACTCGAAGGCCGCAAGGGATGCTACCGCCTACTTCCGGACGGCCAGACCATTGCCCTCGCTGGTCACGGGGCTGGGGCTGGGATACTTTGCGGTGAGGCGCGGGGCGCGGACGCGGGCGCCTGTGTTTTGGCCCTCCGGGCTGTCGTAGCGCGAGGGGCGCCGTGGGAACGGCGTCGGTGCGCATTCGCGCCTGGCGGTTGCCTAGGTTACGAACGCCAGCGGACGCTAAGCGGGGTTTTGGAAGGTTTAGAGTGTTTGAAGCAGGGGGAGTTGCTTGGAAAACGGCGGATAAAGCCAAGGGATGGCTCGGATTTCACTGGTGAGCAAGAACCGGTGTGACAGCAGGAGGACAGCTCTACTGCGGGGAGGAGTGACTTTCGTCTCACTTCCAGGATAACGAACGGGAAAGACGCCCGGAAACAGGTTGGGGAAAACCGGTATCATGTAGGAGGAAGGCGAAGCTAGTTTGGATCTTTCCCGGGAGATCCTGGAACCTGGACGGGTGTCATTTCCACAGCGGCGTCGCTCTGACCACCTCCGCCCTCCTTTCACCTTGTGCAGGATGGAGGTGTGGGACTCTAGTTTTCTCGAGTGCCCTTTCTGTGCCAGGATCCCGCGACCCTGTTCGAACACACAAGCTGGGAAACTGAAGATTCGAGTTGGAATTTAGTGGAACTGGCAGATGCCAGCCCCTCTCCACCACGCGGTTTGGAGGCCGCAGTGATATGTTATACTTTATTGGAATATTGACTTTAAACAGCATCCTGGGAGAAGTAGTGTTGCCTTTGGTGCAGATCTAAGTGGAGCACTAAACTTTGGAGGGGTTGACAGAGATTCACAGAAAGGCTTGTAACAGAGCCTGAGGAGGAGTTGGTAAGGTCACCACAAAAATCTTACATGAACGAGGAGTTGCTGTTAAACCTCCGCGAGTCTGATTTTCCGAGTGTGTCTGCGTGGTGTGCAAGAGTGGAAGAGCATGATTCTAACTGCGAGACTGAGCCCAAGCCACCGTTTGCAGGACAGAAGCTGGCCAAAGCACGCAGACTCCTACAAGTCTAGGAAATAATGTTTGGGGTGGAATTCATGAAAAATCGGATCCGTTCCGCCAGTGCACGGAGCCTGATCATCACCTCGTTTCTTTGTGGCACACATCCATTGGAGCTGCTTTTTAGAAATAGAGGATGGAGATTCAGGTGCCCTCCTTCAGACCCTGTTTCCCCGGTAGTTAGTTTGGTAGAATCGGTGTTCTTTCCTACCTGCCGGTCTTTCAGGTGCCCTAATGGCTTCTCTGTGCCTCTGGTTCTCTTTCAGTGGGTTGTCCTCTGGCCACACAGCATCCCTTATGAGAGCCTTGGGCTCCTGGGCTCGTTCACTCAGTACCTGGTGGACCATCATCACACCCTCCTGCACAACGGGTAAGGAGAGCTGCAGAAACGATACGCTGGTCTCACTGGAGTCCTTGCAGGCCTGCAGTTGCCTTTAGGTATTGAAGAATGGCTCTAGTTTACGTTTAGGAATCTTTCCAGATTTCTGTTAGATTTTATCATCAGACAATCCCCCCCCTTAAACTAGACTGACTTGTAGAAATAGGTTTGGGGCCGGCATTAGCAGGTAAAGCCGCCACCTGCAGTGTCGGCATCCCTTATGGATGCCGGTTCGAGTCCCGGCTGCTGTACTTCCAATCCAGCTCTCTTCTATGGCCTGGGAAAGCAGCAGAAGATGGCCAAGTGCTTGGGCCCCTACACCCATGTGGGGGACCTGGAAGAAGCTCCTGGCTCCTGGCTTGTGATTGGCCCAGTTTCAGCTATTGTAGGTATTTGGAGAGTGAACCAGCACATGGAAGGCTTCTACCTCGCTCTTTCTCTCTCAGCCTCTGCCTCTCTGTAACCCTGCCTTTCAAATAAATAAATAAATCCTTATAAAAATTTTCTTTTTCTTTGATACAGAGAAATTTTCCATACACTGATTTCGCTCCCCCTGATGCCCACAACAGCCAGAGTTGGACTAGGCCAAAGGCAGAGCCAGAAACTCCATTCAGGTCTCCCACGTGATGGCAAGAATCCAAGCACTTGAGCCATCACCTGCTGTCTGTCAGGGTGTGCATTGGCCAGAAGCTGAATCAGAAACAGAGTTACCGAGACTCGAATCATACACCTGAATGTAGGATGCTGGTGTGCCAAGGGCAACTTAACCTCTTTGTTGTTGTTGTTTCAGGTATTGGTTTGCCTGGATGATTCACGTGGCAGAGTCCTTGTATGCCATGGTGCTGTGCAAGTAAGTCATTATTTAGGTCCTGGTCACCTTTCTCGTGGTATCTGGTAGAAGCTGAGCCACCACATTTAAATAATTCATGCACGCCTAGGCTGAGAGCACTCTGAGGTAGTGTGGAGTACCCATGCCTGATACTGGGCCTGACGCAGGAATACTCAGTAAATGTTCGGTGAGTGAGTCCATTTACTTTGTGTTAGTTATTATTTACTCCGTTAGTGCATTAGGCTGTTATTTTTTTTTAAACTTTTTTTAATTGTCTGTACAGCACCACCTAGAACAAAAGATTAGGAGTCTGCCTCCTAGTGTGCGAAAGAGCTGAGTTACTTTCCTAGGCCAGTAATCTCCTATCTTGATGCCACAGTGAACCACCTGAGGAGCTGTTTCACTGTACATGTCTGGTTTCCACCAGAAAAATTGATCTGGCAGGTCTTGCTTCAGACCTACAAGTCTGTTCTTTCTGGAAGGTCTGCAGGTAATTCTGGAGCTAAATGCAAGTTAAAAGCCCCCAAACAGACCCTACTCAGCAGATGCTACTGTAGCTGACTACTGTGTGAGAGTACTGAAAAAGATTCTTTGTACTTTTGGACAATTTGTTCTCCCCTCCGGGACCGTCTGCTAGTGGGGTCCTCCGTGAAGTCCTGTTCCTTTGCTCTCCCACTGGGCAGGCTGAACCCATCTCTGTGCTTTGGAGTGACACAGTCGCCCTTTGCCAGAGTGCAAGGGGATTTCCAGGTGGCTTTGTTGAAACTGTTCTCTGGGCTTGAGACTGTGGTAGGAAAGCCCAAGTGTTCTGAGACTCCTTCCCAGTGGCCTCTTGGGCCTCCCTGAGGTCTTAGCTGAGGACATGTGTTTGGCCCAGCCCCACAGCTTGACAGCTCTTGTGACTGGCATTTGGAGCCTCTAATGAAAACCAAAAGACTGTGTTGTGTTGTACACTTCTTTGAAGGGAGAAGCAGAACAAGCCCAGGGAGGTTGCGTCTCTCTTACTGTGTTCCTAAAACCGGTCCTTTAAGGATCTAACGTGTTAGAATGTGCCATAGCTCACTATAAATCAGAATTAATACTCCTTTTGATTTGTGAGATCAATGAAAGAGTAAATAAATTTGAATGCATGAACACATGAAGACATGGTATAAATTTGGAGCTTCCCAAATCCTACTGCCCAGGAATAACTACTTGTAATATTTTGTTGAGTTCCCTTTTTTTTAATCCATACCTGGTAATTTTTAATTCAGTCATCAGCCTGTAGGAAAGAGTACTTTGTGCTGTATGTAGATACAGAACTGAACTTGGAGGTGGCAGGAAACTAACATTTACTAAGCACCCTCCATGTGCCAGTCCCTAAACAGGAGCTCACGGACACAATCAGGCTATAATATAGTCTCTTAAATCCCATGTTTTAAAAATACATACCTTTCTGAATTTCTTTTAACCAGAGATAAGATTGGACTATATGTTTTACTTTATATCTGCCATAATCATACACTTAAGCACTTTGCCATGTTTTTATTTTTTTGTTTTTCTTTTTAAAGATTTATTGTGTTTATTTGAAAGAGTTGCACAGAGAGAGAAGCAGACACACAGAGAGAGAGAGGGGTTTTCCATACTCTGGTTCACTCCCCAGTTGGCTGCAATGGCCAGTACTGCACTGATCCAAAAAAAAAAAGGAACCAGGAGCTTCTTCCGGGTCTCCCATGCGGGTGCGGGCCCAAGCACTTGGGCCATCTTCTACTGCTTTCGCAGGCCATAGCAGAGACCTGGATGGGAAGTGGAGCAGCGGGGACACAGCACCGGCCCCGCCATGTTTTTTTTTTTTTTTTTTCCCCTGCCATGTTTTTAAAATAACCTTGAAGGCAGGCACTTGGCCCTGCAGTGAAGATGCTACTTGAGGGACGACACTGTGGTGTAGCAGGTAAAGCCTCCGAGACCTGCAATGCTGGCGTCTCATATGGGTGCTGGTTGGAGTCCTGGCTCCTCCACTTCCCATCCAGCTCTCTGCTCGGGCCTGGGAAAGCAGTGGAAGATGGCCCAAGTCCTTGGGCCCCTGCAGCTGTGTGGGAGACCTGGAGGAAGTTCCTGGCTCCTGGCTTCGGATCGGTGCAGCCTCGGCCGTTGCAGCCAATTGAGGAGTGATCCATCGGATGGAAGACCTCTCTGCCTCTCCTCTCTCTGTATAACTCTGACTTTCAAATAAATACTTTTTTTTTTTTAATGATGCTACATGGGACAGCCCCATCCTATATCAAAGTGCCAGGAATCAGATCCTGGCTCTGGTCTTAATTCCAATTTCCTGCTGATGCACACCCTCGGAGGCCTCAGATGATGCCTCAAGCCCATGGGTCCCTACCACTCATGCGACAGACCCAGATACTGACCGAGTTCTCAGCTCCTGGCTTCAGCCTGCTCCAGTCCTGGCTGTTGGTGGCATTTGAGAGTGATCCAGCAGGTAGGAAATCAGTTTCTTTCTCTCTCTCCCTCTCAGCCTTTCTGCCTTTATTTCAAATAAAATAATTTTTTATAAAGTTTGGTGAATAGTTTTAAATTTTGCATACTATTCCTCTAGTTGTATATTCCAGAATTCATTTAGTAAAGCAGTGAATATTTAACTTTAAAAAACATTTTTCTTTTGTTAATGATTGTTTAGTTTTATTTAGAGAGAGAACTCCACTCCACTCACTCATGCTCCAGATATCTCCAGTAGCTGGAGCTGGGCCAGGGCCAAAGTTAGGCTCCAGGAAAGCAATCCAGGTCTGCCTTTGCAATCCAGGTCTCCCACAAGGCAGGGACCCTACTGCTTGAGCAATCAGCACTGTGATGTGGGAGGCAGATTCTTTTATCACTGGGCTAAATGTCTACTCCCTGGGTCTTAGGTCTTTAATCTACCTGGAACTGACTTTTTGTGAGAGGCAAGTATTCAACTTTATCTTAATTTCTATATGGATGCCCTGTTTTCCCCAAGCCACTTCTTGAGACTTTCACTCTTCATTAATGTGCTGTAGCTTATAGCCACATATATGTCTGTGTTTCTGAACTCACTGTTCTTTTCTGTTGGTTTGCTTCTTTGTCCTTGGGCCAGCATAACATTATCTTACAGTAGTAGCTTTGTAATCACTGACACCTGATGGAGCACGTCCTCTCACCTTGTTCAGAGTTACCTGTTCCTGGGCCTTTGCACAGCCTTATGCATTGTCATGTGCTTCAAAGATGAAAAATTTATCTGTTGGCATTTTTATTAGATTGACCATATGAATTAATTTGTAGCAGAATGGCATATTTCCGTTATTAAGTCTTCTAAACCAGGAAAAATGATTTGTCTCCATTTCCTTAGAGTTCTGTGATGTTTTTCCTATTCTTTATTTGGTTAATATCCAGCTTCCTGTACTTTCAGATGTTTTATAAGTGACTTTTCCTTCATTTTATCATTGTTTGATGGTAGCATATATGCATATAGTCAGTTTTATATATTGACCTTATACGTAGCAACCTTAAAAATTCATTTATTAATTCTAATAGTTCATCTATAGATTATTTTCAGTTTTCTAGTCATCATTCAAGTGTCTCTAGAAACAGTTTTATTTTTCTTCTCAGTTCAGTCCCTTTGCTTTGTGTTTCTTCCCTGTTGTACTAACTCATACTTCCAGTGCATGTTGCCTAGAAGTGGACATGATGCCTGGTTCCTGATCGCCAAGCTGTCAGTGTCCTTGCATCATGTTTATTCTAGAGTTTTATAGATCTCCTGTCAAAATGAGGATGTTCGACTGTATATCTAAGTCTGCTAAGAACTTTGAAGAATGGATGTTGAAACTTATCAGATATTTTTGCATTTTTTTGGATTTATTAGTTTATTTGAAAGTCAGAGTTACACAGAAAGAGAAAGAGAGGCAGAGAGAGAGAGAGAGTCTTCCATCCGCTGATTCACTCCCCAGTTGGCCACAACAGCTGGAGCTGGGCTATCCAAAGCCAGGACAGGAACTTCTTCTGGGTCTCCCACATGGGTAAAGAGGTCCAAGGAGTTGGGCCATCTTCTACTGCTTTCCCAGGCCACAGCAGAGAGCTGGATCTGAAGTGGAGCAGTCGGGACTCAAACCTGTGCCCGTATGGGAAAGCAGCTCTGCAGGCGGCAGCTTTACCCACTATGCCACAGCACTGACCCCTATTTTTTGCATTATTAAAATGTATAATCTTTATCCTTTAATTTATTGATAGAAAAAAACCATTTGTATATATGCATATAAAGTTTGCTTTAAATAAAAGGTTTATGCAAGTGAGACTTAATTACATACACATGAGCCTGCAGCAAGCCGTTCACTTAAGCTGAATCATTTTCTGTTGAGCTTTCAGACAGTTGAATGACTGTATAGTAACACTATGTTCCAGTTTCTTTCCTAAGCACTTTGTGTATATATCTCATAAACCAAGTGGGACAGATACTACTACTATGACTGTTTTTCACATGAGAATACTGTTTCTGAGAGCTACTAGTGATGTGCCCAGGACACAGCTGGCGGGTGGCCAAGCTGGGATTCACATCTGGTACAAATCTTCACATCTTCAGACACTTGCTCTGAAGCCATACCAGTGCCCATCTCCTTTCAGTCATCTCATGAGAAACCGTGTTATAATGCTCTACCCTGCTCTACCTGGACAGTAGCCAGACTAGTTCCAAGGAATAGTGTACCATCCTAAATACATTTATTAGGAAGCAAGGAAGAAAAAATAAATTGCCCCTTTAAGTTAAAAAACCAGGGGGGGAGGTGGTAGACAGATGGAAGTATAGAAAAAGTATAAAAATTAAAAAAGAATAAGGCCAGCGCCGCAGCACACTGGGCTAATCCTCTGCCTGCGGTGCCGGCGCCCCAGATTCTGGCCCCAGTCTGAGCGCCGGTTCTGTCCTGGTTGCTCCTCTTCCAGGCCAGCTCTCTGCTGTGGCCCGGGAGTGCAGTGGAGGATGGCCCAAGTGCTTGGGCCCTGCGCCCACATGGGAGACCGGGAGAAGCACCTGTCTCCTGGCTTCGGATCAGCGTGGTGCGCCCACCGCAGCGGCCATTGGGGGGTGAACCAACAGAGGAAGGAAGACTTTTCTCTCTGTCTCTCTCTCACTGTCCACTCTGCCTGTCAAATAAATAAATAAATAAACAATGCTTCCTGTGAAACCATAAGATCAAAATTATGGTGCTTATATTTTGTACTTTTTTTTTTTTTTTTTTTTTTTTTAGGTATAAAGGAATCACAAATGGTCGGGCTCAGCTACTGGTTCCTACAGACTTTCTTCTTTGGGATAGCATCTCTTTCCATCTTGATTGCTTACAGACCAAAGCGCCAAAAACAAAATTAAAAGCAAATATACAGAAGTTTCCTCTACTTAATTCAGACACCTTTCCAGGGTGACGGGGACTGCCATTTTCACTCAATGATATTTCTATTTTGTAAAAAGTCCCTCAAAGCTATCTAGGACCCTGCAGTTACTCATTTTTCGTATAATATGCTGTGGTTGAGCTTGAATAGACCAGTTAGTTAACAAGGAAATAGGAAAAGTAAATACAAGTTTACAAGTAAATTAAGGAACTAGGAAAAGATTTTAGCCTTCAGCTCTGCATACTCAGCACAGAAGAGGGCTTCCCCCCCACCTTCTTAAGGGCCTCTGGCATTGTGGGCTCTGCTGTCATCTGGGCTGAGACACACGCTTGCTAGATTTGCTTGTTGGTTTTTCTTTGCTCCTTTCCTTCTTGTTAAAACATCTTGGCCGCACTACCACCATGTTAGCTCTCCTTCCCTTAAATTCTCTCCATCTTTCTGGACCAAGATGTAGGGACACTTCTACAATACATCAGTTCCTTATACATTTGTTAGGCACCTCTAAGGTAGAATCTTACCCTTTCAAACTTCTGTTTCTCAAATTACAGAGAAAAATAAGGAAGTTGGAACGGGCAGACTGAGTGATCACATAGAGGCACGCTGAGAATCAGGGCTGGTGGCCTTCCCTGCTGCTGACCGAAGTGTCCTTTCCCTACACTGGACCCCGGGACACGGTGCCCTGTGGCTCGCAGGGGTTGATTGCTGCTCCAGCTCAGGGTGCAGCTTAGCTCTACTTCCCCCACCTTACCTGTCCCCCTGCCGTGCACGGAGTTGTTTGACCAGTGTTGATTGCTGACTTCACTTTCTACTCGTTCATTATCATTCCAATTTTTATGTGAAAACTACAGGACTCATTGCATACACTGTCCTCTCAAAAGACAGCCGCAAGACCTTTGGCTGACTGTGTCACCTTGGTGAGACTCCCGGTGGGAAACCTGTCTCTTTTTCATGCTTTCATGTTCTCCATCACTGTCTCCAGACTCCAAGTGTCTTCCTCCAGCTCTGAAGAGTCTAGCTCACGGTTTATCCATCAAGTTAGTGTCTTCCATTCTGGTGGATATATCTTACTACTGTTGACTGGTGGGATGACTCTGTCACCATTAGGAGCCATTAGGCCTCCTTCCCTAGAGGATGGCTTACTTGTTCTCTTTGGACTAGTCTTCATACCCCTTCCATAATATGGGGAGGGGGCAAGTTATTTGTATTAAGCAGACATTTATGAGAAACAACTACCTCCCCCAAAAGAGAGCTTCCAATTGAAACCACAATATAAAAGATTATGGACTGGGGCCACCGACCCTGTTGCATAGCACGTTAAACCTGCACATCACACATGGGCACTGGTTCCAGACCAACTGCTCCGTTCTGATCCAGCTCTCTGCTATAATGTGCCTGGGAAAGCAGCAGTGGATGGCCCAAGTCCTTGGCCTGCAGCCTCGTGGAGACCCAAAAGAAGTTCTTGGCCTGGCTTCAGCTTGCCCCGCCCCAGCCACTGTGGTTATTTGAAGAGTGAACCAGTGGATGGAAGATTGCTGTCTTGCTTGCTCTGTCTTTTTAAAGAAAAAGAATATGGACTATGAATTATTTCTGGTGTATTTGTCTTAAAGTTTTTCTCTAGTTCTCTTGTGATTATGAGTTGCTTTTCACTAAGGAACCACATTTTTGACCATGGAGTTAAGCATCATGGAAATCAAACCCAGTTTTTAAGAAGTCCTTTCCAAGAGGAATAATAATGACTAATATTGGTGGTGCTGGGGACCGTGCTATCAGGTTATTGAAAGAATGGATAATTTAAATAAAATGCTGTGAGTTATCTCTTCAACCAAGTGCTTTTTTGTGTTTCTCAGTTTTGATATATTATCACATATTTGATTCTGTCTCAATAGACTTTATGGGGCTGTTTGTACGGTTCAAATATCAGTTTTTCACTGACAGAGAAATGGAGAATGCTGTGGATTTGGGGTATATCCCTCTTAGGTTTATAGAGGCCCACTTTTTTTTTTTTTTTTTTTTTTTTTTTTTTTGACAGGCAGAGTGGACAGTGAGAGAGAGAGAGACAGAGAGAAGGTCTTCCTTTGCCGTGGTTCACCCTCCAATGGCCGCCGCGGCCGGTGTGCTGTGGCCGGCGCATCGCGCTGATCCGATGGCAGGAGCCAGCTACTTATCCTGGTCTCCCATGGGGTACAGGGCCCAAGCACTTGGGTCATCCTCCACTGCACTCCCTGGCCACAGCAGAGAGCTGGCCTGGAAGAGGGGGCAACCGGGACAGAATCCGGCGCCCCAACCAGGACTAGAACCTGGTGTGCTGGTGCCGCAAGGCAGAGGATTAGCCTAGTGACCCGTGGCGCCGGCCAGAGGCCCACTTAACTCTTGCACACACACTGAGGCACTGGGGTGGACACCAGTGTATTTGAATTATAGGACTTCCTCTTGTTTCATTTCATCAGCATTTGATAGAAACTCTGCAGCAAGTGAAGAATGTTCTGGCATTTTCTTTCAGTGCCAGAAGTATAAAATCATGTCATCTTATGTGGGATTTTACTATGGTGGGGTCTTAGCAGATGGTGCTGGCTGTTCAGGTCATAGACCCATCCACAGCCTCACAGTGAGGGGAGGTCACTTACGCAGCATCACACAGGAAGAGGCCGATTCTGGGCCTTGGGACGCTCCCTCCCTTGCAGCCCAGGAGCTTTGATGTCTGTGAAGGAAAAATAAAATGGAGGCATCTTTATCTTGTAGTCTTAGCAATGATATGAGAAAAATAAAAAAAAAAAACAGCTTTGAGTCTGAGAAAAAAATCAGAGGCATCTTACTGGAATCGACTTGGAAGGCAAATGGACTAAATTGTTTTCTTCCCCACCCTAAAGATTTTCAGAGCGTGCATACTTTGGAAAAATAGAAAAAAGGACCAAAACAAAACAAATTGCTTCACAATTTACTAACAGGCCCGATTTATAAACTAACAGTATTTCCTACATTCAATATGCTATGACTCAATAGAGCTCAAGTCTAAACATGTTTGATCAGCCACAGTGTTAACAGCCTTGAGTTAAGAGGTCGTGTTCCAGATAGGTGAAGTTTTTGTTTTAGCAACAGCTTGCTTTTCAGAGGCCCTTTATGTCTTTACACTGAGAGTCCGAAAACTGCAGAGAAGTTAGGGAGCCTGCAGTTGAGGTATAAAACAATGGAACAGAAGAAAACAGCCCAGAAATAAACCTGGACATTTAGCAGTCAATGGATCATCGACAGAGAGGCCAGGAACACACAGGAAAGGACAGTCTCTTCACTCAATGCTGCTGAGAAGAAATGGATGTCAACATGCTGAAGGATGAAATTGGTCCCTTGCCACATGCCATTTGCAAAAATAGAAATGCATTGAAGACTTAAATCTAAGATCTCAATTACTAGAGGAAAATAGAGGGGGCAAGTTCTATAACGTTAATCTGGGTGATGGTTTATGGCTCTAATCCCAAAAGTCCAGGCAACAAAAGATAAAATAGACAAACTGAAAAGCTTCAGCACAGCCAAGAAAATGATTAACAGAGCAAAGAGAAAAACCTACAGAATGGGAGAAAAATTTTTGCAAAGCATACATCTAATAATATCCAAAATATGCGGGAACTATACAACTCATAGCAACAAAGCATGCACCAATTACTAACGGTCAAAGGACCTGGATAGACATTTCTGAAAAGAAGACATAGAAATGGCTCAGCATCATTGTTCTAAACACTGATAATAAAATATCCAAAGCCCACAGCTTTTTAAGGCAACCATTGTCCCCATTTTACAGCTAGAGAGTTAGAGACATGAAGGGAGTTCCTGCCAAAGATGACTGACTAGCTCAGGTGGAGGACTCCCCCGCTCCTGTGATGGACCTGAAGAAATAGAAGCTTCAGGTTGTAACCTGATCCTTGCAGCAGGTTAGCAACAGCACAGGCCATGTGCCTGAGTGTTAGCAACATAAAACCTCACTGGGGATGGGATGTAGTTTATAGAAACAAATAGGCAGCCCTCAGGCATTTGCTGCACCAGGCTCCCAGCCCAAATGTGGATTGTATTATTATTTTTCCTTCAGGGTTTAGAGGTGAAAATCTCTGGACTAGTGGATGGGCCTCAAACAGGGACACACTAGTGGGGTTCACAGGAGCCTGGAACTCCATCCAGTCTCCACATGGGTAGCAAGAGCCCAGGCACTTGGGTCATCTTAGTCTGTTTTACCAGGTGCATTAGCAGGGAGCTGGACTGGGAGTAGAGCAGTGAGGACTGGAACTAGCACTCTCATGGAATGCCAGATCACAGGTGGTGGCTTAGCCCACAGCGCAATGGTGCTAGCCCCTAATTCCACTTTTCTATAAGCTTTTTGAAGTATCCTGGTAGGCAAGGGCCTGGCCTTGGCCCTGTCCCAGTGCCCGAACATCAGATATCGTGGTTGATTCCCAAGGGCAGTAGGTGGATTGGCCTCACGAGAGGAGCTCTGAGGACATCAAGTCGGCTCACTGACTTAAGCCAATTTTCACTTAATTCTTGACAATTTGCCAACAAGCATTGGGGTGCCTACATTCCATGTTGCTCTTTTAGGAGGAAAAAATCTGAATCCAAAACAGTGTGGAGAGCCAACTGAAATCTACAAACGGGTTTGTAAACATGACAAGTCATTACCAGGGGGAGAGAGGCCCATCTGGCCAACTGCGGAGCTCACTTGGATGCCTTAAAAAGCTTGCTTTAGTTTCACTCAACGTAACTAGAAATGCATTAGACTCCACAGGATTTGAGATGATATCATGTTTGCTGTTCACTTTAGAATACTGAGAGAGACTGCAGAAACCCACACACCCCCGCCTCGTTTTACTCTGGGAGATGATCGGAGGACGTTGAGGATAGCAGTCACCAGTGTAGTGGTGGCAGACCTAGGTCCCAGACCCCTTGCTGTTTCACCAAGCTGCAGTGTTGCATGAGGACATCCAAGTAATACTCTCAGCTCCCAAATATTCTACAGATGCTGTCCAAGAATGATGCATTCAGAATGAGAATAGTTTCTGTCATCGTTAGCTGCCTCAGACCCCCACATCCTGTTCATGTTATTGACATCTGCCTTTCCTATGCAGTATCCATAGCAATGCACAAATATTGGAAACCCTCCTCAGACCCTGGGGTTTCTTGCCGTTGGATAACGATGCAGCAGTACTATGTTGCACATGTACACAGAATGGGGGGTATTTATAGCATTTATGGAGCTTTACCATCTGCACAGCCAGGGAGTTTGAAAGCTGGGTTCTGGGTGTTACAGAGTATTTCCTAGGAAACTGAAAAATAAATACATTATGAAATTTTGGTTTTCAATGTGTTACTGATGGTGTCTTGGCATCCCGTCAAGCCTGCTGCAAAATACACTTTGCACCAGAAGGGGCATTTCTTGTGTAATCCATTGTGTCCTTGGAATCCGCAAGAACCCCACCAAATGACTTCTGTGTTAATAAGAGCATATAATAATTGAACACTCACTGTGTGCGAGGCATTATGCTAAGAGTCTTGGTTGCATTCTTCCATTTAATCTTCACATTAACCCCTAGGAGGTAGGTGATGCTGTCCCTTTTTTCCTAGTTAGAAAACAGGCCTGGGCTGGTGCCACAGCTCACTAGGCTAATCCTCCGCCGGCGGCGCTGGTACCCTGGGTTCTAGTCCCGGATGGGGCGCCGGGTTCTGTCCCGGTTGCTCCTCTTCCAGTCCAGCTCTCTGCTGTGGCCCAGGAAGGCAGTGGAGGATGGCCCAAGTGCTTGGGCCCTGCACCCCATGGGAGACCAGGAGGAAGCACCTGGCTCCTGGCTTCAGATTGGCGCAGTGCGCCGGCCGGCCATAGCAGCCATTTAGGGGGTGAACCAATGGAAGGAAGACCTTTCTCTCTGTCTCTCTCTCTAACTCTGCCTGTCAAAAAAAAAAAAAAAAAAAAAAAAGGAAAAGAAAAGAGAAAACAGGCCTGATGAATGAAGTAGCTTGTTTATTTCAGAACTAGTGAATGGTAGCACCAGGGTTCAAACCTACATCCCTGTGACTCCTGAGGGCCTGTTTGTAACATGTGTCCAGAGGCTACATAAATAACAGAGGCAACCACAGCATAAAATCACTCTGCAATATCAATAGAGTCACAGTGAAGTATGTTTTCCTGGGAAATACACTTTTAAAACGAACTCTAACCTCTGATTCCTTCTATGACTATAGAAATTATTCCATGTTTCCCTCAAACAACAGATCCATTTGACACGTCTCTCCTAAATGGCATCTGTTAAGAAACGACTGCACTTGAGTCTGAGCATGCACAAAGTTCTTACCAGAAGGGGTTAATGCAAGAAGAGGAGG